TCCCTCGGCCACGTTTATCCGATGTTTGTAAATAAAAATTAACGTTACTGTTATTATTGTTTGCACCGGGTTCACCAACGCTGTGATTGATTTCAGCATCTTTACCATTTAAAACCTCTTTTTTTGGTCTTCCACGACCACGTTTAACTGATGATAACAAATAAAAATTATTATTACTGTTATTATTGTTTGCACTAGATTCATCAATACAGGGATGGATTTCAATATTATTGTTGTTGGAATCAGGCTCATCAGTACCAGAATTAGTTTCAACGCCATTACCATTTAGGAACTGAACTTTGGGTCTTCCACGGCCACGTTTAACTGATGATTGCAAATAAACATTAACGTTACTGTTATTATTGTTCGCACCAGGTTCACCAATACTGTGATTGATTTCAGCATCTTTACCATTTAAAATCTCTCTCTTTGGTCTTCCACGACTGCGTTTAGCTGATGATAGCAAATAAACATTATCATCACTGTTATTATTGTTCGCACCAGGTTCACCAATACTGTGATTGATTTCAGCATCTTTACCATTCAAAATCTCTTTTTTTGGTCTTCCACGACCACGTTTAACTGATGATAGCAAGTGAACATTATCATTACTGTTATTATTGTTTGCATTAGATTCATCAATACAGTGATTGATTTCAATACTTTTACCATCTAGATCCTGATGTTTTTTGGGTCTCCCGCGACCACGTTTAACTAATGATTGTAAACTATCAATAGTATCACTGTTATTGTTTTTTGCAGCAGGTTCATCAATATTAGGGTTGATTTCAACACCATTACCATTTAGAAACTGAACTTTTTTGGGTCTTTCACGACCATGTTCAACTGGTGATTGCAAATAAACATTAACATTGCTGTTATTATTGTTTAGATTGGTTTCAGCAACCTTATCATTTAAATTTTCTTTTTTTGGTCTACCACGACCACGTTTTACTGGAACTTCAACTTGATCTGAAAAATCAATTTTTAGATTTTTATCTATATTCTCCAAAGCTGTAATTAATTTATTATGATCTTGTGATGTGTGTGATATGACATTATTATTACTTGGCCTACCCCGGCCACGTTTAATGATATTATATTTTTTGGATTCTTCTTCATGATTATTTTCAAGTTTATCTTGATGTCTTGGTCTACCAAGCCCAGGTTTTTTATTAGGAATGTTAGATTGATGTGATTGATTATTATCTGCACTTTTATTCTTTATTTGTCTATTACTTCTATGTACTTTAGCTTTTTTTTGTTTTTCGCCCTTTTCTTCATTATCATTATCATAACCATCATCATCATTCGTATCTGCATCTGCATCACCACTATCACCATAACTTCTACTGGATTGAATTTTTTTATTGATTTTATCAATTTTCTTTGGTCTGCCCCTTTTACGTTTTTTACTTACTCCAACCCTATTTCCATTTCCTGTAGGGACAGTATTATTTTTATCTTGAACCCTTTTAGGCCTTCCACGACCACGTTTAACCGACGATGATAAATTATTATTGTTATCATCACCATAACCATTTATATTAACATTATTACTATAACTATTATTATTGTTTGCGT